GATAGAATTTGAAAAAAATTTAAATTTTTGAAAGAATCTAAAAAATTTGTTACAGTAAAATAAATTATTAAATTATAAAGAAACAATTGCGTTGTTGAAAGTTTAAAAACTTGAAATATAACTTGACTAATAATAGAATAATTATAATTTCAATAAATCCTTGACAATTATTAATTTGTCCTAGAGTGAGTATTTGTATTAAACATCTGCGTTAAAATAATTTATATATTATGTATTTCTTCTTTTTTCTTCTGGTAAATTCTCAATACTCACGTATATATGTATATATTGTCTCATAAATAACAGTTACATTAGCACAAATACACGTCTCTCGCCATATGCCTATATATTATTTTTATGAATTATGAGTTATGAGTTTATGAGTAATGGGCATCAATTGTCACTAGTAAAATTAAATATTATTCGTTTATAAGTTAACAGACATGAATTACTTAGTTATTGTATTTAAAACTTTTAAATAGACGTTACAACATCCATGACTCTATAAGTCGTTACGCCGTGATAATTGTTACATAATTCACCTGTACTCAACAAAACATTGCATCTACAATCTAAAATCTACACAAATATAAATTAAATTAAATTTATCCTCGTATTTATATTTGTACTATACATTATATCGTGAAAATATAAATTTTTAAGCGGTCGTTATCTTACCGATGTTGACTCATTTTTGTTGTATTCAATGTCCGAGCTGATAAGTCCGTATAATTTAAGTTATGTTGATAAAAACAGGTTGTTGTATCCATGTATGTGAAAAAATAAATTATACCTCGACTTGGAGTTTGTTAGTTTCAACAAAAAGTTTGTAACAAAATAACCATGAAGACGAGAGTATATTTAACTCCAGTTCACAAATTCGCCTGCAGAATAAGCTATAACAAAAAAAATAATGAGTGCATTGAAATAAGTACCATGTGTTGCCCACAACAATGTGCATGTCCACATACTTGGTAAATAACTCTTAAATATAGAAAACAGCTACTTTAATTTACCGCAAAACGTCTTCCTGTGTACTTTTAAATAAGTCTTCATTCTTATTTCGTATAATGTACTGTTACTTATTATGTTATTATTTATTAAAATTTGAATTATTTCTGTGCGACAATCTACGGTGTACTGAGATTTTATAGTTATTTTAAAATTAGAACGAATCTTAATCGATAATTGCTTCCGGTTCACTTTTCCCGTTAACTAGGATAATTATAGGCTATTTTTGCTGCGAAAAGTATTTTTTATAGAAATTATATTGTTTGCTTGCAATTACTTGTTTTAAAAAGTTTGAAATTGCGCGCGGCTATATTTAAATTGACCGCCATTTTGTCGTAAGAAGAAAAGTTACTCAATTTTTATAAACTTAAAAGCTATTTTTCTTATAAAAAGTATTTTATAGTTTATTTGTAACTAATTATTTTTTTAAGTTAAAATTTATGCGATAATTGAAATTGCGCGCGGCCATTTCAAAATTGACCGCCATTTTGGCTTACAATAAATAATTATTCAATTCTTATGAACTTAGAACCTATTTTTTATTAAAATTTTATTGTTTTATTGCAATTATTTATTTTGAATGATTAAAATTTATTAGATCTTTAAAACTGCAGGCAGCCATTTTAGATGGGACCGCCATCTTGTCGTCGGAAAAGAAGTAACTTAGTTTCTATTAAATTTGCGGTTATTTTTTTTTTTTGAAAGTATTGTTTCATCAAAATTTTATTTTATGTTTTCAATTACTTCTTTTGAGAGGCTGATAAATTTGAAATTACAGGTGGCCATTTTAAAATTGACCGCCATTTTGTTTTGAGAAGAAAAGTTACTCAATTTTTATAAACTTAGAAGTTATTTTTCCTGCAAAAAGTATTTTATAATTTATTTGTAACTAATTATTTTTTTAAGTTAAAATTTATGAGATATTTGAAATTGCGCGCGGCCATTTTAAAATTGACCGCCATTTTGGCTTACAATAACTAATTATTCAATTCTTATGAACTTAGAAGGTATTTTCTATGAAAATTTTATTGTTTTATTGCAATTATTCCTTTTGAGAGATAAAAATTCATTACATTTTTAAAACTGCAAGCAGCCATTTTAGATGTGACCGCCATTTTGTCGTGGAAAAAGAAGTAACTCAGTTTCTATTAATTTTGCGGGTATTTTTTTTTGAAAGTATCGTTTTATAAAAATTTTATTTTATATTTTCAATTACTTCTTTTGAGAGGCTGAAAAATTTGAAATTACACGCGGCCATTTTAAAATTGACCGCCATCTTGTTTTATAAAAAGAAGTAATACAATTTCTTCAATTAACCGGCAATATAAAACGTTTTTAAACTTGAAAAAAATAAAGTATGAAAAAACTTAACTAATTAAAATGAAAGATTTCTTTATCATTTTCAAGGTAGCGTTGTTCTTTACATATATCTCAAATAAAACTGATAATTAAAAATAATAATACAGTCGTAAACATAAAAAAAATAACAATAATTATAAAATAATGTTACAGGATGGTATTGGACCATAAAGCAACGAGTCTACACAGTGATTACGGTAGTTTTGATCGACCATTAAGCAGCAACGGTGAGCAGAATCACGACAGGGACGTTGAAGTTGCAGTTGATGGAAGTACCAGTGGAATGGCACAGTCCAGTGATGTTTATCAGCGACAACCGCTTTTGCCAGGAGCGCCTGCTAAGAGTAAAGACCGGTGGGGTGCCGTCGGTTCCAGTGGTGATTATTACGAAGATGATAATGATAAAATAGATAATATTAGTACGCGTACCGGCGGCTTACAAAATGGCAGTGGAATTGTCAAGATTGATATTCCTCCGCCGTTGAGAGAAGAGCCGCGATTTCCCAAAGAAAAATGGAAAACCGTTCTTGGTGAGTTTTTATTTTTTATTTATTATTTAAAAGATAATAAAGATTTATTTTCAATAATTAATTGTTTTCTTCTTTTGTTTCAGCATTTTTATTTATGGTTTTTAATTTTATACTAACAACAACATCACTTGCAATGTTACACGAACGCGTACCA